ATTGAATATGGTGATGAATAAATTCATTAGCGAAGTTGCCTTTGTTGTTTGCATTATTGCATAGAGTTGCTGCAGACTATTTTAATGTGATAGTTCAACAGAACATTCATTGGATTTCCATGCAGCACTCAGCTTATTTTTGTAATAGCTGGTGCAATCATCAGTAAATAAAATGAAAGATTAGTTATTTTCGATAGTGTAGTGTGCGATTTTGCGAACCGTACGAATGGATTTGGCGAAACGTCCACACTGGATAGAATGCGATCGTCACCTTTTCAAAGCGATTTTTAAAAGCATTATCTTAATTAAATTAATTGAAATTGTCTTATCTTTCAATTATTCTGCCTCAAACTTTTATATTTTACAATTGTAAAGTAGAGTTCTAATGAGTTCTTATCAATGTGGAAGTGTTTTGGTGCGTTTCGGACGTGTTTGAGGCGTGTTTGCAAAGCGCAAACGGATTACCAGTTCACCATGTGAATTGAATTGATTATTTAACTGAACATGAATCATCACTGCCAGCTGAGTGGTAGGGTACTGGTGCGATGGAGATGCGTTTGTTTGTTGCACTACGATGCGTTTTCAGCGTTGCTTTAAGCCTGTTTCGAGGCGGTGTGCTCGAGAAATTGATCAATATTCATGGAATGTTTATGAAATGGGCTAAAATTCTGCCTAGTGAAGCTCATACGGTCCATAGATTTGAACGATAGACGAAATCTTTCGTTTCTTTTTCATTAGCAATGCAGTGGATGTTGTTGATATTTTGCCATTATTGTTATTTGACGTTCGCATTGTTCTAAGGTTATTGGTTATGAGTTGTTTTGCATTCGATTTGTAGTGATGAACGTTGAGGTTTTTGAGAGGTTTATGAGAAGTTGGCGTTTTACGAGAAATTTGAATAAATTGATAACATTTTGTGAAAATTTCAGCGTTTGCATTTCTTGAGCTAATTTCAGCTCAAGTTTGAGCTCGTTGTGTTGTGTTGAATGCGGTATAGCCGTTTTGACGACGAAGCATCAAGTCGCGATATTGATATCGAGTTGAACGAAACAAACACCGGAGTATTAACAGCAACGCCGAGGTCAAGAACGACAGCAGCAGCAAACTCGAGGAAGACGGGCACATCAATAAGGAGTTGGTGGAGTCGTGGTGGATGTGTTGGTGGTGAATCAGAACCACTGATGGGAGATTCTGTGGCGACACCAATAAGTGGATCGACCAGTAGAGACGACGTCAATCTGCTACCTTTGGGCGACAGTTCAACGTCTTCAAGTCGATTTCATCTGATCGATTGCAATATGTTTAGGTGGGCGAATTTTTCTTTGATTGATTTGTTTGGAATCTTTTGAAGCTTTTAAAGCTTTTGCGGATTTTTCGTTTCATTCGTGAAAGCATTTGTTGAATTTTTCATAATTTTTGTTAGTTTCGCATTCGCTTGTGTTTCATCTGGATGTTATTTACATCGTGTCGTGAATTTTCCGATGATTTATATGTGCTTTATTGATTATCATTTCGTTTCACGACTCATTTCATCTTCTTTCTCTCTCGTCTTTCGTGTTGCGTTTGCACTTGCTTGTTTGTCTTCTTCTCATTGCGTGCGCATTTCGCGTGATCATTTCTGGCGATATTCTGCGACGTTTCTTCATGTGAAATATGAAATATACTTTCAATAATGATGCTGCTATTCATGCGGAAAAATGCAGAAAATTTTTGCACAATTTGATTTCTGTC